GGCCGCTCCAGTGTGCCGGGCAGGAGCAGAGCTTCATCCGCAACTGTTTATGGAGCACCAACTACATGCCAGGCCTGGAACTAGGGGCTGGGGTGCACAAGGGAGAAGGCCTCTGTGCTAATGGGGATCACCTCCAGGGGGTCACAGACCAAGCAGATGAATCACGCAGGGCGACAGGCTGGTAAGTGCTACAGAGAACATGAAGATGAGGCTAGGACTTAAATTCTTGTCCTCCTTGAGTCTCAATTTGTCTACAAAATGGGTGCTACCCGCACCGCTGGAATGAGGGAGATGGAGCAGAGGGGCTGAGCACGGAAGGCTGTCCCATGGGGGTAACTGGGCTGTCCCAAGCTGGCTAATATGTCCACCTGGGATGGAAAACACTAGATCTTGATCACCCACAGGAAGAGAGATGGGCCGATACTGCTAGTATCATGGGAGATGAGCCAAGGCCTGCTGAGGCCTCATGCGTGTCCCAGGGGAGGTGAAGATGCCCAGTGTTTGGGGCCAGCCACACACACAGGAGGGGACAAAGCTCATGGCTGCAGGGCTGTAAGGTCAGGGTAAGGACCGTTGAGGGCGGGCGTGCAGGACAGGCAGGTGAAGTCCTGCTGGCTGGGGAGAGGAGAAAGAGGAATAGGATCCAGTGAGTGGAACAATCTGGCAGGCCCAGAGGGCTCTGGTGGGGGTCACAAAAGCCCGGAGCCTCATCTCCTTAGATATAAAGGTCTCTTGGCAGCCTAGGCATCATAATGAGATCTAGTCTCTACAAATAATCAAAAAATTAGCCAGGTATGGTGGCGCACACCTGTAGTTCCAGTTACTTGGGAGGCTAAGGCAGGAGGATTGCCTGAGCCTAGGAGGTCGAAGCTGTGGTAAGCCGTGACTGTGCTACTGCAGTCCAGCCTAGGCAACAGAGTGAGACCCGGATTTAAAAAAAAAGACCCTCGGCATGCCCTGCTCCCTCGAGGCACCGGGTAGCGCTCTCGCTCTGCCAGCCTCCGATGCCGACTCCTTGACACCTTGGGGACTCCCACTGTGTTTCAGGGGCAAAGGTCTTCAGGCAGAGCCAGGACCCCCAATGGTCCTCGGCATCCTATTACCCCAGCACCATCCCCAGCTCTGCTCTGTTAGTCTTTATTCTCCAGCAGCCTGGGGGCTTCTGGGAGGGAGGGCAACGCCTAGCCTACCTCAGAGGCTGGCACAAAAGAAGCGTCTGGCAAATGTTTGCCGAATCCATGAGTGAACGAACAAACACACCTGAGTAACGGAGGCCTAAGGCAGGCAGGGGCAGGCCAAGGGCGCTTGAAGCCAGCCACCGACGTTTCTCACCCGGAGACCACAAGGCCCCCCGTCTGGCCTGAGTTCTGAGACTCGCCTGGCCACAGACTCTGACGCTGTCACCGTCTGGCCGCTGTCACCGTCTGGCCTCGGGCAGAGCCTGACTGATGGGGCCGGCTGAGATCAAAGGTGGCCCTCGGTCAGTCGCAGCGGGAAGGGGCTGGCTTGGGGAAACTGCCACACAGACTCATACCCTTCTGGAAACCTCCACGCTGGGCTAAGGAAGGGAGGTTCTCCCCTCCCTGCTTGGGCAGTTCTGGGGACTTGAGTGCCCAGCATCAAGTCTGGATTAGAGCAGGCATTTGAGAAATTTAAGTGAATGAATGAAACACAAGAATGAACAAATGAATGCTCAATCCATTTGGCTTGCGGATAACACTGTTGCACTCCAGGTCCCAGCATGCCTCAGCTGAGAGCTGAGGGTGGTGTCCAGTGTTGTGAGCACAGGAAAACTGGCTCAGGCCCCTGCCCTACCCTGTCACCCCCTGGCTCATGGAGACAGCGGCCCAGCCTCCCCGATGACAGCCCATAGTTCCTCCTGGGTGTATGGTTCTGCTGTCCCATTTTGTGCCCACGTCTCTCTCACACCCTCAGACCTTCCCGTACACCTCTGCCAGCCCTCAGGAGCCTGCAGGATGGGACAGGGAGGCCAGGTCCCCTCTGCTGAACGTTGGCAGCTAGATTTAGAAGCTGCATCCTCAGACTCCCAGCATTTGTTTATCCTGGCACCAGGGAAGATGGGTGGCGGGTAGATGAAGGGGCCACAGGGAAGGCAACCGGACCCTTGATGTGGAGCCCCGAGTCTGCAGAGGGTTGGGAAGGGGACAGAACGGAGCACGCTGGCCAAAAATCTTGTGCCCATGAGGCGTCATGGCCCAGCACCAAGGGCCTGCTCGGGCATCAGTGGGGTACAGACCTATTTGTTTTCTCCCCAGTTGAAGGCCCAAAAAGAGACCCCCAGGGGCAGACAAGGGCCACCAGAGCAGAAAGAAGTGGCGGGGAAGAACATCTGCTTGGCTTCCAGGTCACCTCGCTGTCCTCCTCTGGGGTGAAGAGGGGTGGGAAGGAACAGAAGCGCCCTTGTGGGCTAGCCTGGCACTGCCTGACATGCGGCCTTCCAACTTGCTCTTCCTAGGAAAACAGACCTGGTGCCCTTCTGCCAAGCTGGAAACCCCAGGGGGCGTCAGCAGGCTGGGCATTGAGGAGAGCGGACATGTCCCCGTCACCTGAACTCAGAGCCACCAGCCCCCCTCCACCAGCCTTGAGACCTTGTTCTCCGGCTGAGTCTGCATATGAGGTCACAGGACAACCTCCCCAAAAGTGAGCGGGGAAGGGAAAATCTGGGGTAGATGGGAACGTCCCTTTGCCTGGGCCACCAGCCACATGTGTGGCCGCCTCTGGCTGTGACCCTGTAAAGAGGACTCAATTCTTGCCGCCCCAGATACCGAGGCCGCCCTGGGTCAGAAAGTGAGCAGCCCTTGGTGGCCTTCTGGGGGCATCTGAGAACATTCTGGGCTCTGGAGCCACCTGGACCCAGGTCAAAAAGCAGCTCAGCATCCCAGCTGACTGCATTCTGGGCGGGGAGGTCACTCTGCCTACCGATCTGTCAAATGGAGCTATGCCAGCCAGGCGGGGCTGGCAGGCGGAAAAGACAGCACGGGTGGTCCGGGGGTTCTCATCCAAGGTGCCTCCGTGTCCTCACTCAGCTCCCTCTCCCCCCATTCCCAGACACCATGGCCCCCGGGTCTCTGTCTCCACCGCGCAAAGACGCAAAGATCAGGGCTGTGTCCCCGCGGCCCGCCCTCCCCCTCACCTTGCTGGTGGCAGTGGCAGCCGAGCCGGGCAGCACGGGCGTGTTGGTGACCTGCACGTTCAGGTAATTATTGTCGATAAGCGGCCAGGCGCCCTGAACCTTGCAGGTCTGGAAGCGGTCTGTGAAAGTCCTGAGGTGCGGGTCCCCGAACAGGCCGCAGTGCGTGTAGTTGGGGGCGGCCGCCTGCCTGTGGAAGCTCTTCTCGTAGTGGCAGACCTCGGGGCTGTCCGAGCGCTCCTGGCTGTCCCCCGCCGGCGGGAGCGTGCGCAGGCGCGGCTGCGAGGTGGGGCCATCCTTGGAGCAGTTGTGCTGGCTCATGAGGTCCTCTATGCCATGGACCGCCGAGTGGTAGGCCAGGTCGCCCCGGCAGGTGCGGGCCGTCCGCCGCGTGCACAGGGCGTAGGTGCGCAGGGCCGCGCAGAACTCGGGGGCGTCGTCCGGGACGGCGGCGTGGCTCCCCGACGTGGCGCTCCAGAACTCAGAGTTGCACTTGAGAATCTTGCACGGGGACGTGGCTGTGGGGAAGGAAGGGACACGCCGTGAGGGCGGGGCCTGGCGACCCCGGCCTCGGCTACCCAGCCTTACTGGGCGCCTGGTGCAGGCGCCGTCGCGGCAGGACGCCTCTTCTAGGTCGCGCCACCCACTGGGTGTCCGCACAGATGGTGAACGCAGAAGAAAGGGCCCGCAGGAGGCCCGAAAGGGCAGAACCTGCTCTAACTGGCCTTCTGGATTCTTCTGCGCAGCCGGTAGTGACACCCGGTGCCCAGGCGTGTGGACCGGCACAGGAGTGGTCACCTTTTTTGGGAAGCAGGCCCGTGGGAGCTGACTGGCCATCCTCGGGCCTTTGACGTCTATTGACACTTTTATGGCCATCTCCAAGAATTTCGGCAGAAACAACAGGAACTCGGCAGGAAATTAAGCCCCACTATTAAACTGTCTCCAGCTCTGCCACTGTGTCACCTTGTGCGAACTACTTAAACTCTGTGCCTCATTATACGTATCTGGAAGGCAGGCTAACAGGACCTACCATGTCAGGTCTCTGAGAGCGTTAAATGATTTGTCACATGTGGACTCTGCACAGTGGCGGCATATAGCCAATGCGCAATGAATGCAGCCTGGTAGGACTGCTCACTCTTCCAGCCCTGGTCATCGAGGACCCACTGTCCCTCACGGCCACTGTAGCTCCATCCCTTGCTATCCTGCTCAGAAAAAGCAAGCTGGGAAGCAACTGAGAGTAGCGACCTTGAATCTGCCATAATGCCCGTAAGTCACTCACAAGCTTTGAGATCTTAGTGTTAATCAGCCAAAATGACCATGCCTCAGAACTGTGGCTTTCACACACCCGAATCTTGTACCTAGACACATGGAACCTGCCCTATCCTGGCCTTCTGGATTCTTCAGCACAGCCCCTAGTGACCACGAATGGCGTGCAGACCTACAGTAGGACAGACATTTCTACACAGGTACCAGGACAAAGGGGCTGGGGACCAGCTGGGAGGCCTATCCTCTTGGGTTGTAGCCCAGTGCTGGCTGGGATGGTCTTCAGAGGGGGAAGGAGGCCATAGCCGGGCTAGGCTACTAACTTGGAAAAGTCAGTTTGCTTCTCTGGAGTTGGTTTTACCTGTAAGATCGAGTTGTGCAGAACACCAGAACAGAAATATCTGAGGGCAGGTGATAAGAGAACACCCATCCAGCACTGCCTTGCTGCGCAGCCTTGTACCTGGGATTTCTCCCATCTCCACAGGTGGGCTGGCACAGTCCTCCTGGAGCCTAAGTCACCTGCCCAGGTCATATACCTAGTGGTATCTAAGTGAACACTTCTTTCTTTTAATTTGAGGAATCATATACTTATTCAAATGTGCACATTAGGAAAAAAATAAAACATTTGCTGGAAGAGCTATAGATTTTATTACCTTTATGTAAATTAAAGAGTCAGGTTAGGTAAATAACAGGAGAAGGTGGCCGCCTGACAGTCAGGAGATGGGCCCTCACTGGAATCTGACTGTGTTGGCCCCCATGGACTTCCATCTCCCAGAACAGTGAGAAAATAAACGTCTGCTTAAGCCTCCCAGTCTGGGGCATTTTAAAGCGCCAGCCCGAGCTAAGACAGTCATGGGGCAGGGGAGGGGGCCCTCCCAAGCCCCTCTGCAGAAGCTGCCCATATGAGATGTTTGAGTGCCCAAAGGGCCAGGTTGACCCAACTTCACCTAGCCCACTTCCCCATCTTGTGACAAGGACCTACTTTCACCCAGGGGATGATCCCTATAGCTTTGTAGAGGGAGAGGGGAGTCAAGACATGGTGATCCGAGCCCTTGTCCTCCGCCTGGAGACCCCCACCCCACCCCCATGTAGCCCATTCTCCACATCCTGGCTCCTGACACAGGGCATCCCGTTTCCTGCCTGCCATAACCCCTTCCTTCCTCTAGTTTTCACGGCATCCAAAAATGCCTCTTCTGCTCAGACACTTTTTGGGAGGTGGTGCAGTCAGGAACTCAGGGTCCTGAGACACAATTTCAACAAGTTTTGCCTCAGTCCTTGTTAATGAGTAAATGAGCAGATCTCTGGGTCTGTGGAAGAACTTAACAGGTGACAGATTTTACATCCTGGGGCAATGCTCAGTTGGAGAGTCCCACCAAAGTGGACCTCACTTGGGAGGCAGCAGTGGGACAAATGGTCAGGATCAACTCCAGCTCTGTCACCCCACAGCTGAGTGACCTTGGGTAAGTTCACTGACCTCTCTGAGTCATAGAGATGTGTGGGTACCTCCCACAGGGGTGTTACAGGGACTTCGAGTCACTGATGTAAGCAAAGCCTGAAGAATCGGGAAGGAATTTTCTGTACAGGTGAGGTCTCCCTATGTTGCCCAAGCTGGTCTCAAACTCCTGGCCTCAAGGGATCCTCCAGCCTCAGCCTCCCCAAGTGCTGGGATTACAAGCATGAGTCAATGCACCTGGCCAGTGAAAGTTTTGTGTTAAGTTTGTTCTGTTAAATAATTTACGGGGGAGGCTGATGCTCAACTAATAGCTAATGTGCATTAACTCAGTGCTAGACATTGTACATGTGTCCCCTTTAACCCTAGGACTCAGGACTTATTTATTACCTGCATTCAACAGATATGCAAACTGAGGCCTAGAGGCATTAACAGCTCTTCTCTCAGTTGCCCTGAAGGAGGCAGGATACACACAAGCTCCTTTCTCCTCCTCTCTCACACCTTTTGCCACAGGGCCACAAAGGTGGACAAAGACAAGAGTTCTGCCCTCAACGGGGCTTACTTAAGCAAAGTGCAGTGTCCCAAGACTGGGTAGTAGACACAGCAGTGAAGGAGGCCCATGTCTGAGTCTCACCTCAAAACAGAGGTAATGATAATGTTGATAAAACCCCTGTGCAGGTGACAGGTTGCTTTTCTGTTGAGTCCTCACTCCTTTACAGATGTAAGCTCGATGGCCTCAGGGCAGGTGGCAGTCAGAAGTGGAAGGGTGGGGACAGGCTCTTCCCTTTTCTTCCTTTTTTCTGTTTTTGTTTGTTTGTTTGTTTAGAAACAGGGTTTTGCTCTGTTGCCTGGGCTAGAGTGCAGTGGCATAATTATACCTTCTGGGTTCAAGCAATCCTCCCGTCTTAGCCTCCCAAGTAGCTATGACTATAGGTGCGTACCACCACACTCAGCTAATTTTTAGCCGAGCTTGGTGGCTCAGCCTGTAATCCCGTGCCTTGGGAGGCTGAGGTGAGTGGATTGCCTGAGCCCGCGGGTTTGAGACCCGCCTGGGCAACTTGGCGAGAGCTCATCTCTACAATAAATCAAAAAATTAGCCGGGCGTGGTAGCGCACACCTGTAGTTCCAGCTACTTGGAAGGCTGAGGCGGAAGGATCGCCGGAGCCCAGTAGGTCGAGGCTGCGGTGGCCGGGAGCGGCCACGGCACTCCAGTCTGAGCGACAGAGTGAGACTCCAACTCAAACAAACAAAACAAAAATTTTTTTTGTAGATTTGGGATTTCCCTATGTTGCCAGGCTGGTCTCCAACAAACTCCTGGCCTCAAGTCATCCTCCCACTTCAGTCTACCAAAGTGCTGGGACTACAGGTGTGAGCCACCATGCCAGCCCTGATTCTATACTTTTCAAAGTGCACTCACAAGTCCCTCTTTGGGTCTCAGCTGAGATCGCCTCAGCTTCCCCAAGGCCCAAAAGCATGATGCAGCCATAGGGACCCATTTGTCCCCAGGGCAGTAAACACCCACCACCTTGGTCTCAGGCCTTCCCTGCAAAAAGGCCTTCATGGAGCCCACCAGGAGGAGGGGCTGCTGCCAACTGACACATCCTTGACTCCTTGGGCTTCCCAGCTTCCAGGAGACTTCAAGCTAGCCTTGCAGATCTTCCTGAGAGTTTAAGAGGAAGACAGCATTTCCATCACAGATAAGGAAGTGGAAGTTCTCAGCAGGGGAATGGCTTGGAAAAGGCCACTGGCAGTGATGAGCTGGGACCAGAACTGAGATGCCCTTTCCCCTCTGCTGTCTCTCCAGGCGGTACCACAGCGGTCTGGGACCCATGGGCCTAAAGTGGATGTGACGGGAACGTCACTTCCCAGGGGATGGGCTGCAGGGATGCTAGGGCTGGAGAGTCCTCCACTGAGTGAGCTGAGCGGTCCCCAGCCCCACAGTCACCCAACTGCACTATCCACCGCACTAAATCGCCACCCGCAGCCGGCCCCACCTCTCCCCCCCACTTCCCTGGGTCAGGGACCTGAATGTAACCTGGCCCAGCATCAAAAGCAAAAGCTGTGGCATCACCTGCCAAAGAGATTCCAGAGAGGCTGATTTTTATGTGCCGTGTCTTTCAAAAAAGCAGGAGACCTTAACTCCCAGCATAAAACGTGGGCTTTTTCTGATGCAAATGTCCAAGGAAAGAAAGAAGGAAAGTTTGAGAGTTTGAACTGGATCTCGCAGCAAGTGAGCAGAAGAGGAAACCAGTTTTTCAGAATGATCCAAGCTGAATGCTAAAAGCCAGTGGCCTCGCAGGTGGAGGTGGCCCCTTCCAGGCCTGCAGCCACCTTTTAGGGGACACAAGACAACTGAGACGCATGGAGCCAGGGGATTTAAGGAAACTGATGGGAAGTTAGGACAATTCCTGAGCGTTCATTTCCATCTCAGCCATTGAGTGTGCCCCTGGACAGGGCCACTCCTGGACCTCTGTTAACCCTTACTACCTGGGGTTCTTCCTCACAGAGACACACAGAGTTTTGTGCCCCTCGAAGCACATCACGAGGCATCATGTGCACTGCCATGTTTTGTTTTGACCCAGGCCTCTCTTGAGGCCTCAGGCTTTCAGGATTAGCTACTCTGGGACAAACAGAAGCCTGCAAAGACAGTGGCCTGGCCCTGTCCAGGTTCACCAAGAAGATATCCTTGAACTTGTCCAGAGCCCCATGAGGTGGGGGACTTGGTTCCCAGACCCACTGGAGGTGGAATGGGCCCTCGGTGCTCAGGTGGGAACTCCTGGCAGCCACCTGGCCTATCTGCTTCTCTGTGCAGTCTATGACCTCAAAGAGCCCGGACATCACTTCGGGACCAAATGCAATGGTTGCTTTCCAAGGCACACCATGGAATTTTAGAACCTGGGAGCTGGGGGATGCCAGAGGTCACCAGTTTCCCACAGCAAGAAGTCTCCCTGTAGCAGAAGGGCCGCCCCCTCCTTCTGGTTCAGACAGCTCTAGCTGGGGACCCACATCTGCCTCCTGGGGACTTCCATATAGGAAAGGCCAGAAAGGCCCTGCAAATGTCGAGACAGCCAGCTGTCCCCGCCCAGATCGGGTTGCTCAGGAGGTGAACACTGAGATTCATCTTCCTTTCTTGCCCGTGAATCTCCTAAGAGCAGGACCCTTA